AAACCTACACGATCAACACACTGTCAACACTCTTTGAAATTGATAAAAAAACAGAAAATCAAAAATTAATTCCAAAAATAAAAATCAACTCTATCAAGCTGGCCTCTCTCTAAATAAAAATTAAAAAACAAAAATCAAAATGCGTGTGAAATCTCCATCGAAAACAAACCTGATTCAACTCCACTGAAAATCTACGCGATCAACATACTGAAATCTCCGACGAAATCTACACAATCGTAGCAATCTTTCTCGTCAACTCCATTGAAATCTCCAACGAAATTTCCACCGTGAAGTCAATAATATAATATTCAAACAAATTTCTTGTCAACTCCACTGCAATCTCCGACAAAATCTCTACTGCGAATTCGGTTTCCAAAATCTCACCGTGAAGTCAACAATATAATATTCAAACAAATTTATGTTATAAAAGAAGGGTAATTTAGGTACTTTACAACCTAAAATAAATTTGAAGGACGTTAGCCATCAAAACATATTATTTTAGACCTCTCCTCCTATCAAAAGTAGAGGAGGGACCTTAGGCCAATTTTTCCTTTATTTTTTGTGGCTAAAATAGCCAAAAAAAGCCTAAGTGGCCAAACACAAAATCCATAGAAAACCTAATACATTAAAACCCAAATACATATTCTAGAGCCTCGTTTGGGAACATACTTTTTTAGTAACTTTTTGGCTAATTGGTTAAAATATGATGTAAAAAAAATTAGTATGTTTGGGATGACTTTTTGATTTTTACGAAAAGATGTGCAAAAAGTAGAGAGAAAATGGAATCTTTGAGTTTTTGATATATGTTGTTGGCTTTTTAATTTTTTTAATAACTTTTTGACTTTTTGACTAAAAAAATCAATTGCCAAACGAGGCCTAACATGAGGCTTAACTAAATAATAAGTTTTAAAGTTGAAGTTTTAAAAATCTACAACAAAACAAATTAATTTTTAAAAAATTATAATCCAAGAAAGCTCCACTTTTAAGTTTTGCCAAACAGCCCTCTTGACAATGGTAATAGCAATTATTTTAATACTGTGTTTGGTTGGGAGATTTGAAGAGGAATTTAGAAAGAGAAATATAAAAAGTAGGTGAAATGTGAACAAAACATACCTAAATTTTACATAATTTCACATATTTTTTTCTTTCCCTTTCCAAATCTCTTAACCAAACACAACGTAAGGTGAAACTTCAATCTAGTTACAAATAAACAGTAAACTTGATGCACATTAATAATTATAATTATAATTATAATTCTTTTTTATGATTTTATAATAATTTTTTGGTACTCCCATTGACAAGTAGTATCTCCTTGCTTTAATATATATATTAACCCAAGAAACAATGAATAGAATATAAACTTACTTGAGTAAGGCATAACCCAACAAGTCCAAGGTTTTGGACCTTGACTGTAGTAATCCTATTATTGTATGGTGTTTGGCAAGTGGGTTGGGGCTAAAATAGCCACAAAAGACAAAACAGGTTATTTTAGTCACAACAAACAAAACATCACATCCAACCCATAATCATTACACTCTTCTCTCACAAAAAAAAGCCAAAAAGCCAAAAAGCCAAAAAGCCCTTCCCAAACCAAGCTTTTTAGCCCAGGCTAAAATAGCCAAAAAAGCCAAAAAGCCAAAAAGCCAACCCACTTCCCAAACGGAGGCTAACTAGGAGAGACTAGATAGAGCATTAATCACAATTTGGCAATACCAATAGGGTCAAAATGAAAATTGAAACCTTAGCAAACCACTTGCATGACAATTAGCCTTGTTTGGGGGTATACTAATAAGTACACACTTTTTATCTTTTTATTTTTTTTCATCACATTCCCTTTTTACTTTTTTGTATATTTTTTTGTAAAAAGTCAAAAAATGTACTTATTTAGATCATCCCAAACCATCCCTGACACCTTGATATTTGGAATTGTTCAAGGGCACTATAGGTAATTTATCTTTACTATTTTTTTTTATATTTTAATTATTTTTTTATAAAAGGATTTTTCAATTTAGTAAGATTGAGAAGTGAAATTTTTTTACTAAAAAAAAATGCAGAACCAGAACTTTCTCTCCGCACAATTAATTATAATCCTTAGTGAATGATTTATCTATTTCTACATTAATATTTGGCTTAATTATATCAAGACCCCCACACAATGAATTTTACAATATACTGTATGTAGTCTATAAAAAAGTCATACATTTTAACCTCGCTACTTACAAAATCCTACAAATGCTAAATTTTGGAGGAATAAATAGGTTAAAATGATGCACTTTTATAATTGAGGAATTAAAATGTATAAATTCATAGATGATGGGATAAAAATATATTCACTAATAATTATATTTATTTTAAATTAGTATAATTAACCCTTGTTATTTCAAATTCATCCAATTCCATTACCATAAAACTCTCAAATTCAAATTTAAAATACATATGTTTGAAAACAAACTATATTAGTCAAAAAATTAAAAATCTAACTCATTCTTGCTATTTATTTTACACATTTTTTATAAAAAATTAAAAAATTCTCTACAAAACTCAATTTTCAAACAATCCCTCAAATTTAAATGGTAAAGTACAAACACACCCATTGAAATTTGCTTACAGATTAATGCATATGATTCTAGAAATGACATTCTGCTCCCTTATAATCACATAAAAAATGATCATTTTATTAATAAATGATCAAATAAATTAATAATTTTTAATAATATTATAAATATATTTTAATTAACAATTCAAGTAATTTTATTGTTATATAGGAGAGTAATTATAAATTTTATTTTTTTCTATTAAATTTGTTAAATAAAAAATTCTAACAAAAAAATATTTATAATTTCTAGAATCACATGAACGATTTATATTTTAAACAAATCATATTTTTGTAATTTACTCCATTTAAATACAACCTAATAGGATTTTATTGACCTCAAAATGAAATTTATTTGGCAACACCCACACCGGTCCCAACTGTCTCAGCCATTTTCCACTAATTTTGTCCAATTTAATAAAAATTTGCCCCGTCTGCAGTTGAAAGTTGAATTAGATCAGCTAATCAAAAATTTTAATTGGTAACTCTTACTGATAAGAGTTTAATAAAATATGACTCAAATAAAATTTTTAAAAACTATTATTAATAAAACTATTTCATTTAATAACTCTTATCATTTAAAAATATTCGTTTAATAATTCTCATCTATTAAAGACAGTAACTATGGGGAGATTTATTAAAAAATCATTTTTTAAGTGCTTGTATCTTAAGATATTATTTGAATGTTATTTGATGGACATTTCTACCTTTACAAATATTATTATATTCTAATAAGTCCTATTATTTAATATTATTATATTCTAAGATATTATTATATTCTAATTGGAAGTGATTGAGACCCCCTTTCCCATTACCTTACACACACGTGGGGGTTGGTGATTGGAGGAGAAGATAAAGAAAAAAGAAAGAAAAAAAAAAGAGCTGGCCAATCATAGGCCAGATCATTTTTCTATTCTAATAAGTCCATAAGATATTGTAATCATTAGTCCATAAGATATTATTGTATTCTAATAAGTCCTATTATTTGAACATTTGATCTACTAAATTCTAATTCTCATATTTAAAATATTTGATGAACATTTCTACCCTTACAAATATTTTTTGAACAGTTAACAATTTAGTTATGTAAACATTCATATTTTACAATGTGAATATTCGCATTGACGTGTGAATGCTCACATTGACAGTATGAACATTTACATTGGCATGTTAATATTCACATTGATGGTGTAGACATTCATATTAACAATATGAACATTTACATTGATAGAATAGTCACATTGTAAATGTGAATATTATTAGGGATATTTTGATAATTATGTCACTCATAAGATTTATAAAATATAATAAAATAAAATAAAATATAAATAAGTGAAAAGAGATTTATGAAAAGAAAAATATTTGGGATCCCCTTTTGGAGAGACCCCTATCATCCAGTGATGTGAACTAATGATGTGTTTGTATTCAATCACAAATAGAAATTGTGGAGATGATATTTTGTTGGACTTTTCTTAAATGTGCAACTTACACCTTACACTTACGCCTTTCTATTTGCTGTCCTGTTTTATGTTTACACCTTCCACTTACACCCTTTATATTGGTTGCACATGGTGTACAACCTTAAAGGATTGCACACCATAACAACACCCTATTTTGTTATGTCTGAATCATTACTGTTACGAGAAAACGTCTCTTTTAACTATTTGATGCAAACGCTCTTGAGCAGTGAAACCCACATGGCCCTCTTGTCACATGCTTGGTTTATCAATTTCCTTTTTCTTTTTTTTTTAGCATAATGGGAATAAAAAATATATACAAAAACAAGTGATGTGTACGTGATTTTGTAATAAGATGTAAGTGAAATATTGCAGAAATACAAGTAAAACTTGTACCTCTTTATATTTGTGTAAAAAAAAAAATCCTCTTCAATCTAGATTTTGAGTTGAATGGAATTGTTTGGGTTTGTGGGGGCTTACCCTGGCTCCGTTTTAATGATTCGAATAATTTATTTTGTTATGTACTTTGTGTATTTTGTGTACAAAAAAAATTAAGTTGATCTGATAAATATAATTTGTTCAATTTATTATGTTTGTTATCAAAAAATGTATGATTTTTTTTAAAACACAATTATTATTTATTTTTCTAGTAAAAAAATAAACAAGTTATAATTATCAATTATATCTATTTTTTTTAAAAAAAATAAAATACACCTAATTAAACAAATAATTCAAATCATCAATAAATTCATAGACCCAATTAGTATCCTCCAATTCAAAATCTGGAATGAAGGAAATCTCAAAAAAAAAAAAAGTTTGTTTTTTTTTTCTTTTTTTTTTTTGCCTTGTTTTTTTTTGTTGCCTTATATGGAAATTTAAGGGGCATTCGGGCCCCTAAATTTCGAGTTACCAACTAAAACCGTTTTTATTTTATTTTATTTTTATATGTTTTCCTTCCTCTTTTCACGATTGCTTCCTCTGTTCTCATCTCCAATTTTCCCCGACCAATATACTCTCTCTCTGTTCCTTTCCAGTCTTATTTATTTCCCTTCTTGAATCTTCTTCTTTCTGGGTTTTGCTTTTCATAACCCTTTTGTGGGTTGGGTTGTGCGTTGGCATGGGTTGATTTCAATTTCCCTTTCCAGAGTTTTCTTGTTCATTCTTGGTTGTCATGATTGTGAGGGGTTAATTGAGTTGTGTTTGGTTTCTGGGAATTTGCTTTGTCTTGATTCCTTTCCATTCATGATCGGATCGCCCATCACTTTTTAAAACTTTTCTCATCTGGGTTTCCTCTGAATTCTGATTCCTTTTATCAAATCTTTTTTACGACTTTGGATTCAAATCACTCTCTTGACCGGATTTAGTGCCGGATTTCTGCGTTTGAAATTGCCATCTGGGTTCTCTATCAATCACTTACAATTCAATTAAGGTGAGAAATCAATGATTATTATTTTTTTTTTGAGTTCTTGTAGTATTTTCAATATTGGGTGTTGTAGACTGTGTTTGGATCTTTGATTTATGAATGGATTTGTGAGAGGACAAGAGAAGAGAAAAAATTTGTGAAGAAAATTTAGCTTACATATTTCATTCTCTTTTCCTTCCTTTTCTTTTCTTTTCTTTTCATTTCTCTCCATAGTTTACTCCACAGATCCAATACCCAAACACTGAATATTGTGTGGACGATTTTGGAGTAAATTGGGTTTGTTTGAAAGTTTTCAGCAAAATGTTGAGATCAGAGTTCTGTGATGTATCAATGTCTTCCCCAACAGTGGCTGATGATCTGCACATGAAGCTGCTATACTTAGAAAACAGAGGTGATATTCTCCAGATGATAATCTTATGATTTGATGATTTGATGATTTGATGAACGAGGAAAATGAGTTCAATTAAAAAATTATTAGTAGTCAGTTATTGACGCAACTAACAATACAAACATTCGTGGGAAAAAAAGTGACAATTTCCAAAATAATCTAAATTTTTGTATTTTAATTTAGAAATATATATACATAAAGCTTTTGTTTCACACCTCATGCTTATCAACTTTATTCCAGTATAAAGATTGGTTTGAGTGGACAAGGGTATCAAAGAATAAGAATTTTTCTTTTGTGTTGCACAAAGGTCCACCATGGAACAAAGGGGCTTCCATTTTAGTACCTGTTTAACTTTCCCAATATTTAAAGAGGCCTACTAAAATAATAGAGGATCTAACATGGCGCAATGACAAGTGCTATCCACCTCCAGCTTTGTAGGGTGAGTATGACTGTGTAAAATACCGCCAAATTCGTTAAAATTGTATCGATTTGTATCAATCCGTCAATTGTGGTTTAAATTTTAAAATTTATAATTAGTTTTCGAAATCGTTCCGCTCCGCTATAATTAGTATATATATATATATTTCAACTTATAATGAAATATCAAAGTGAAAAATGAGTGTAAAAGAGATTTAACATGTTAAATTTATTACAAATTAGTAGTTATATATATGAAAATTATTATGTAAAATTAGTTTGCATTATATATATATAAAATATTATGCAAATTAGTGTTATATATTATGTAAAGACTTGATAATTGGTTAAAATATTCTTCAATTTGCTCAAAACCACTCAAATCGCAATTTGTCAATCCGCCAATCCGTTAATCTGCCATTTGGCTTATAATTTTACTCTCAAACAGTCTGAACCGCACCGCGCACACCCTTACATGCAAGTTCAAATCATGAGAATCAACTTCTCCACTGTCCCATCTCAGCTTCACTTCGTACTTCTTATGATGCTTTTGATTGAATTTGATGTGTGTTTCATGAATTCTACGATTCTGCGCTAAGTACTAATTTTTCATATTTGTATGTCACAGTTGCATTTGCAAAATTATTCTTCCCCACTGAAGTTAAGCTAGCCATGGATATTGCACATGCTGAGACATCCGAGTTTGCCGGTCATTTGAACGAAACACCCCTAATGCAGAAGAAAGGGCTCCTCTCAAGAATGCAGACTCTTTCAAAAGCAGGTACTTTGAAGCTTTATTATTATTATTATTATTATTTTTTCCTTTTATATACTTCTAGTTATTGCCGTCCCTTTGTTCAACTGTTTGATTTTTATATACTAATCTTTTCTCATGTATTCCTACCCTATTTTCTAGTTGAGAGAACTTCTATGTGTTATCTAGTGGTTTTCGAGTGACTCTTTATTGTACGCTTGAAAATTTTCTTAGAATTTGTATTACCAGACAGTTAGCAACAATGGTGCAAAGCATTGAACATTCTGGAAACGGGTACATAAATAGAAAAAAAAAAACCTATAACACTGCTTAAGCTGCACCAACCAATCTATATTAAATTGGACATGACCATATGCTATTGGCAATACTGAGACTATGGTATGCTGTGGATCGTAAGGGAAGTTATTCACAATCCTCGTAGTTGAATTCATTTTCACCGTTACTCTCCTAAACGTTTGTGGTTGTCATGGTGCAGTGGAGATGGGTCGACGTTACTTCCCACATTGCTCAGAGGTGTTCGACAAGTTCATGGAGGACGACCTAACTGATTTGTTTTACCTAGAGAAGGGGACTCCAGAGGAACAGTTAATTAAGAGGAAGCGCTTTGTAGAGCTCAAGGAAGACGTTCAGAAGGCATTTAACAAGGACAAGGCCGAGCTTCACCGTTCTGGCTTGTCTTCCTTGTAATCCTCGTCTTCTCTGAGAAACGGTGTGATTTCCAAATTTAGAAAATTGTGTTGATATGACAAATGTCTCTAATAAGTTTGACAACATATATATGTTCCTGATTTTGATGATAGTTATAGTGAGAGCCAGTTAAGTACGGGCTCTATTTGTGTAATATCTTTAGAAGAGCAAAGTTAGCTCCATAAAACACCCCTTGTGTAATTGAGCTTGGAAATTCACTTACAATTACTATTTATAGGGAAATGATTTGCTTTTATCAGTTAAGTCTGGTTGCCAGACCTACTAATGGATTTGTGTATTATGAATCTTTTTGATTTCAATATTCAACAGGCAAACATTGGGTACAAACTAGTTCTTTCAAGAACCCACAGCCTTGTGTTTGTGTAGCTAGAAAAATACTTGGATGGAACTAGTTACTATTTTTCTTTGCCTTGTGAAATGAAAATAACCAATTTTGGTTTATTTACTGAAGAGCCATTTGCGGGATGTTCTAAAGTATATGCATATGCCATGTTCACTTATCTTGACACAACTAAAACACTCATCTTAGTTTTGATCAACCAAAGGGAGGTCAGGAAAAGATTCACCACAGCGGCCGCTCCGCCATCATCGCTGTCATATTGGGAATTAAATCGATGAAGTAAACGGGTTAGCTAGGTTCATTTGTCCAATCTAATTAAATTATTGTAAATGCATAACTTATTTTGATTTGATTAAATCTATTCATTTGTCATCTCTAACTGCAAATATGGATGTCGTTGGAACTACATCTATAAATGCAATCGGCAAGCACACAAGTTATGTGGTGCCACGTGCCACTCTAAATGTGTAATAAGGCTCGGCTTACAAATTTTACAATGGAATATGAATACGTGTGATCGTGAATAGCTTCTACATATGTCATGCATGGTTGCTAACTCATAACTTTGCCAATTTTTCAAAAACAAAAAAAAAATAAAAAATCAGTGGAGTAACAACTTTGGGAGAATCTTATTTGGATTTTCGACATTAATAATGAAATTGTTTTTGCGCAATTCTTCATTGATTTTTATGAAAAATGCCCTAAGTTACAATTTTGGTTGCAAATCAAATGTGGTGAAATGAACTACAAAACTTGACAGTCTGGCTTAATACTATAATCTATAAGACTGTAATTATCCCACAAAAGTTTGTAAAAATTGAATTTATTTATTTTTTAAAATTTACTAAATATAAAAACACAAAATTTTGGTGTACTTTTATATTTTTAATTGCATTTAAAAAATAAAATTATTTGTCTAAAATATTTATAAAAAATTCACTAAAGGCAGCAACAAAATATGAAAAATAAAAAAATTGAAAAACTCAATTATTTTCAGAAACTTATTTTTGAAAAATTAAAATCAAAATCAAGCAGAATGTGCTTTTCAGCTGTGTATATGTTTGCACAAACAATTAGATCAAACATATGGAAATTCAACTGTTATATTGTGCCGCCAATCTGATAATAATAAAAAAAATAAAATAAAAACTCCAAAATCCAAACAAAGAACATAAATTATATAATCAATCTTCAAACAAAGCTAAAGCCAAATATTCCATCAGTTCACATACAGACCCATGAAATCCAAAAGACACCATAACCTTCAAACATAATACAAGCAAAAAGAAACATAAAGTACAAGGTTTCACACCAACCATGGTAAACCCAGAGCAAAAACAAAACCAGAAAACCAGTTAGATTCAGGCACAAACTTATTAACTAGCATAAAATCTGTGCTATGTACGGGAAGTTTAAAATTAAAAAATAACAAAAATCCTAGAGATTTATTAAAAAATATTTTATACCTTCATAATATATATTTTCAATATTTAATATTTTATTAAAAATATTTGGATTTGTGAAAAATTAAAATTGGACAGAGAGAGAAGTATGTGATTTTGATTGAGATGTAAATTTGATATACTAATGTTAGTAAATTTTGATTATAGTAAGAATTTAGGGTTAATTACACTAATAGTCCCTATAGTTTGGGACTTGTGTTACTTTGGTCCCTGACTTTTCAATTGTGACACATTTGATCCTGAATTTTGAATCTTGTTCCAAATAAGGACAATTGAAAATATCATTAAATTTTTCAAGGGTAAAATCGTCAATTTGATAAAATATAGATTAAATTGACAAAAATATATGTCAAAAAAATATTTTTAATTTTTTTAAAACTATTTTTATCCACTAATGATAAAATTATGCAAAAATTAATAAAAATTACATGATTAATTTTTTAAAATTAATTTTACATGATTATCATCCAAACATATAATAAAAATTAATTTGGTAAAAAAAATAAAGAAATGTCTAAAAGATTTATCAATTTTACATAATTTTATTTTTAGTAGGTAGAAATAATTTTCAAAAATTCAAAAATATTTGTTTGAAATTTATTTTTGTCAAATTAGTTAATATTTTATTAAATTGATAATTTTACCCTTGAAAAATCTAATTATATATTCAATTGTTCTTATTTGGAACAAGATTCACAATTCAGGGTCAAATGTGTCACAATTGCAAAGTCAGGGAACAAAGTGACACAAGTCCCGAACTATAGGGACTATCTGTGTAATTTGCTTAAGAATTTAACATGGTGAGAGAATTTAATGTGAAATAAGCATGGTAATTCAAAATAGGCAAGGAATTGTTTTGTGTGTATCTTCACACCTTGGTCTCTAACTTTTTTTTTTTGGTAAACAGACCCTTGGTCTCTAACTTTGCTAGTGTATATGTTGCTTTCAAATGCAAGGATTATTTTTTAAGGCGAGGATGCTAATATTATGGCTATGTTGCTAAGGAGGAAAGAACCCCTCGATTTGTTAGACATTCTTGTAGATGATTTTTTGAGTATTAATCGTTCTGCTTGCAAATCTTATCATGCTAACAAAATGATGCATTAAATAACTTTGTAAGAGGGGCTAATTTGAGCCCACTAAATTATTTAGACCCTGTAGATGATTTTTTGAGTATTAATCGTTCTGCTTGCAAATCTTATCATGCTAACAAAATGATGCATTAAATAACTTGAAAATAAATAAATAAATAAATAATTTGCATCTTAAAAAAAATATGAAAATTCATTTTAATTGAAATCTGTGTTTTTTATTTTTTAGATTAACAAAGTTGATCTGAACGTGATTTTTTTTTTTTTGCTTGAATCATCATGTTCATGATTATCCTTTCAGTCATTTTAATGTCTTAAGAAAATTTTTGAGCTTAGCTAATTGATGTCAACCTCACCCCAGGACTTAAATCAATAAAATCTTAAAATCAATATAAATTAGATAATTCAAAAAACATTAGCATTGATTATATTTCTTTATCTATATCTTACAGGATTAGGTGTAAAAAAAAAAAAATTACAATATTTAAGTTGAGTAAGTCATCCAACTTGTCTCTATAATTCTGTGGTATTTGAGGTTGCATGTCATTTGTGAATTCTTAAAATTAGTTAGAGATTTGACAAAATTACGAGGGAATGTTATCAACATCAAATTTGTTTGTGTCACAAAAAATTAAAAAAAAAAAAAAAAATAATAATAATAATAATTAAAATAAGCAAAGATCATAATAATCATAGTCATGCACCTATAATATTTACTCATATGAATGGTGACTATAATCAATACACACGTCAACCAGTTTGCAAGACAAATGTTCAAAGATTGCAAGCAATTTCACAAAAGGAAAGAGAAAAAAAAAAATATCAAAAGTATTATTAAAAGGGTGCAGCTGGTCTCCCATTAGAGATCAAGATTGGATCATTTAGTTTGGCCCAAGGACTTATTTTTGGGTCCCTTTTCAATAATTTGAACTGCTCAATATGTACAACTCATCGAGTACTATATTCCTGAAAAAAATTACATTGATCGAATATCGATAGTTATTTGATCGAGTCAGATTTATGTCAACCGTTTATTTTTTTACCGTTCATTTTTTTTATGCAAAACTGATACTATTAAATAATTTTCGAAATCCGATCAACGTGATTTTTTATAAGGATATAGTACTTGACGAGTTCTACATATTGAACGGTTCAAATGATCAAAACATGATCCAAAAATAAGCCCATGAGCCGAATTAAATGATCCAATCTTAATCTCCAACCAAAGATAAGCTGAACCGTTATTAAAATAATAGGTATATGCCAAAACTAAAAAGTAACATGATTAGATATTTATATTTGGGCAAATTACACAAATAGTTTCCATAGTTTGGGGCTTGTGTCACTTTGGTATCTGACTTTTTAATTGTGACACATTTGACCCTGAATTTTGAATCTTATTCCAAATAAAGAAAATTGAAGATATCATTAGATTTTTCAAGGGTAAAATTGTCAATTTGATAAAATATAAACTAATTTGACAAAAATAAATGTCAAACAAATATTTTTAAATTTTTAAAAATTATTTATACCTACTAAAAATAAAATTATGTAAAATTGATAAATCTTTTAGACATTTATTTATTTTTTTACCAAATTAATTTTTATTATGTGTTTGGATGATGATCATGTAAAATTAATGTTAAAAAATTAATCATGTAATTTTTATTAATTTTACATAATTTTATCATTGGTGGATAAAAATAATTTTAAAAAAATTAAAAATATTTTTTGACATTTATTTTTGTCAAATTAGTTTATATTTTATCAAATTGACGATTTTACCCTTGAAAAATCTAATGATATTTTCAATTATCCTTATTTGGAACAAGATTCAAAATTCAGGGTCAAATATGTTACAATTGAAAAGTCAATGACTAAAGTGACACAAGTCTCAAACTATAGTGATTATTTATATAATTATCCCTTCATATTTTAAAATAATATGATAAATAATCATACATATAGATTGAGTAATAATTGTTGACCAATTGTTTTGAGTTGCCTTTTCATTCAAAGACTTATGAAAAATTTCAGATGACTTGTAACTCTATATTGAAAGCACAATAAAAATTAAAATAATAAATAGATAAATTTAAATCATCATTTTTGAAAAAAATCATATATATAGATGACATCTATGTTTCAAAAAAAAAATTAAATTAAATTAAATAAAACAAAATAAAAACAAAGCTTATATGTTGTCAACTTGGGGGACCATCATTGTAAGTTTTGCTAAAAGTAGTGAAATTAAAAAATACTCAAAAGAATCATTTAAAATCGAAATTGGAGCAATTAAAATTAAAACATGCATTTTTTATTTATTTATTTTTGTTGTAAATCCATCAT